CGCCCACTCACTCTGCCTGGTTACCTGTTACTCGGAAGGTGAAGAGGGCATTCGCACTACATTGGACTCCATCGCCATGACCGATTATCCGAACAGCCATAAGACTATCCTCGTGATCTGCGATGGAATGATCAAAGGAAAGGGTGAGGAGTTTTCCACCCCAGAGATTGTCCTAGGAATGATGAAAGATCCCATCATCCCCAAGGATGAAGTGAAGTCATTCTCATATGTTGCCGTTGCCACCGGGTCAAAGCGTCACAACATGGCAAAGGTGTATGCCGGATTTTATGATTACGGCGTGGACTCCGTTATTCCAGAGGAAAAACAGCAGCGCGTCCCGATGATGGTTATTGTAAAAAGCGGCACTCCATCCGAAGCAAACAAGTCAAAGCCGGGAAATCGGGGCAAGCGAGACAGTCAGATCATTCTGATGTCCTTCCTCCAAAAGGTCATGTTCGACGAACGGATGACAGAACTTGAATACGAAATGTTCAACGGCTTATGGCAGGTGACGGGCATCTCTCCTGATTTCTATGAAGTCATTCTCATGGTCGATGCCGACACCAAGGTGTTCCCCGACAGTTTGACCCATATGATTGCTGCGATGGTCAAGGATCCGGAGGTAATGGGACTGTGTGGTGAAACGAAGATTGCCAACAAGACAGACAGCTGGGTGACGATGATCCAAGTATTTGAGTATGTATCCTCCACTTTTCTCTTGTGGCAAGACTAATACAAGCAGATATTTCATCTCGCATCATCAAGCCAAGGCCTTTGAATCGGTGTTTGGTGGTGTTACGTGTCTTCCCGGGTGCTTCTCGATGTATCGGATCAAGGCACCAAAGGGTGGTCAGAACTATTGGGTTCCGATTCTGGCGAGTCCTGATGTGGTGGAGCATTACTCGGAGAATGTGGTCGATACGCTGCACAAGAAGAATCTGCTTCTGCTAGGTGAAGATCGGTATTTATCGACACTGATGCTACGTACCTTTCCCAAGCGAAAGCAGATTTTTGTGCCCCAGGCTGTCTGCAAGACGCAGGTGCCGGAAAAATTCATGGTTCTACTCTCACAACGACGACGCTGGATCAACAGTACCGTGCACAACTTGATGGAGCTGGTCCTGGTACGAGACTTGTGCGGGACATTTTGCTTCAGTATGCAGTTCTGCATCTTCATTGAATTGATTGGCACGCTCGTGCTTCCGGCAGCCATTGCTTTTACCTTTTACGTGGTCATAAACTCGATCGTGCACAGGCCAGTACAAGTGATTCCGCTGGTACTGCTTGCTCTGATCCTGGGATTGCCGGGAGTGTTGATTGTGGTAACGGCGCACAAGTTTGTGTATGTGCTGTGGATGTTTATATATTTGCTATCCTTGCCAGTGTGGAACTTTGTACTACCAACGTACTCGTACTGGAAGTTTGACGACTTCAGCTGGGGCGACACGCGGCAGACGTCCGAAGGGAAGGACAAGGGGCACGAAGCAGGGGAGGGAGAGTTTGACAGCAGCAAGATCACAATGAAGCGGTGGCGAGACTTTGAAAAGGGTAAGTCAACTCCAATGTGCGTGATGATCAGAATTAACAGCTTGTTATAGATCGCCGACTGCGCGTGCAGATGTCGGGCTGGGGCCAGGCTCCGGGGCCGGGAGGGTATTCAACCTATCAAGACCCCTATGGGGGGCATTAACCATTGTGGTTGATTATTTTGACTGTATATTTCGGATGTTTGATGAGTTACGACGGATTGTACTATTGTAATTTTCAGTTTCTTCGCCGCCAGCTGGGGTCAGCTGGATTTTGCCTGTCATTCGCGCTGAATGACCGTACCCTCCGGCTGGCTTTTTTGAATATGGCTTTATAATGTCGTTTAATGCGTTTGGATTCAGCATGCGCTACCACAGCGATTGTGATATAGCAGATACGAGTAACGATATCGACGAATTGAATAATATGGATGCTTTCAGTGGTATTTTCAGAGGGTTCAGTGTACATAAACGAGTACACCGACCCTCCTTTGCAAACTACTCCTACAGTCTCATCCACATCACGTCGTAGCTATAATTAAATAAGCCCTCACTCCGAAATCCCACTCCTCGCGGCCCAAAACGCACACTCCCTCACTCCCCACTCATCCCTTCTCAACCCCGCCGCAACCCCAACCCCATCCCCGCCAGCCCGCTCATCATTCCCTTCCCCAAATATCATCACCTTCCCAACCCCTAGCCCCTCCCCGGAATCCGCACTGTACCTCTCCCACACCTCCCTCCCCTCAAACCTGCCCCCCAGAACATTCGGATCCCCGTACACCACAAATGAAGTTAAATATGCATGGAACAAACCCGCCACCTCCCTCTGAGCCTCCGATATTCCCCGCACCCCCGGATCAAACGTCTCATACTCCATCTGATCCCCGTGATTCGCGCCTCCAATGACGGTTTTATTCAACGCCCAGCGATACAAAAACACCGGCTGATTAGCCGTAGGATCAGCAGAAGCGAACCCCGCCGTCTGCCGTACAGGACACGCGTACGCGTAATGTCCATACGCCGCTTCGAGGCGCTTGTATTGCCTTCCTAGCTCCGCGACTGGTCTAGTCTCTAGATATGGCGATACCGAGGCGTAGATATTTGGATCGGGGTATATCTCATCGATGAGTTGTATGTCACTCTCGGGGTATGCGGGGAGCAGTGTTCGGAAGAACGAGGTGAAGTCCTCCGAGAGGGATAGGTCGCGAGGAACGTAGTAGGTTCCTTCGTTTGTGTTGAATCCTGTTAGGATCGGCATTCTGTTCCACTGGCCAGAGCGCCATGCGTCGATGGGCCGGCGGTGGATGATCTCGTGATCGATGACGGGCTGGAAGGCCCAGCGGATAGACGGGTTGTATTTGTCGAAGACGGCGATGGAGGCGGATGTTATGGTTTTGGATGGAAGGGCGCGGAGACAAGGAAGGATTGCTGTGTCGTTGGGGAGATTGGTGCAGCCGGTTGAGGTGAGGAAGTCGGCAAATTGGCTTTCGTGGAGGGAGGCATTGTACGGGTGCACGGCGCGGGAGGTGGCAGCGCCAGATTCGATGATGGCGCGGTGGAAGAGAGGGCTGGTATTTTGGTCTGGGGTGTGGTTCATGATGTGGTGGGCAATCTGGGAGGTAAGGTATTAGTTGGGGAGAGGTTGTGGAGGGCGGATGAAAGGGGAGGGGGGCGTTTTACGGAGTGTGCGCCAGCGGAGAGGCCAATTAGAGTGACTTGGCTTGGGTCGCCATTGAAATGCGCGATGGTGTCTCGGACCCATTGGAGTAGGAGGATTTGGTCGTGCAGGCCGAGGTTGAGGATGCCTTCTTTGGCGGTTAGGGTCGAGGGGAGAAAGCCGAGGGCGCCGATGCTGATGGTTTGTTAGTCGTGGTCGGGTTGGATTGGGGAAAGGTTGATATACGTACCGGTAGTTGAAGCTGACTGCAACAAAGGGCTCGTCGGACCAGCCGACCATTGAGGCCGTGTTGTGTCCGGAGGCTGGGTATTTAGCGGTGCATGAAGGAGGTGGTTAAAGGGATTTGCACTTACCAGTACCGCGGTTGTAGGCGCCTCCGTGCACGTATACAGCAACTGGGAGCTTGCCCTGGACACCATGAGGCCGAAAAACGTTGACTGTGAGACAGTCTTCATCGCCACCTATGTCTTTCGGATTCAAGAGTTGCTTCCCGGGGCACCTGATAGCAATTAAACAGGATGTTGATATAGTATAGAAAGGAGAAGCCTACCTCGGGCCGAAATCAGTAGCATTGATAATGTCGTCCGACGCATTGACAGCCACCGCGCGGCGGAACCGTCTATCCCCAATTGGAGGCAATGCATACGGAATTCCTCGAAAAGCGTCCACCGGGGCTTTGAGCGTGTCTGTCAAGGTGGTACCGATAACAGTGCCCTGTGCAATGATGACGCGAGGTCGACTAAAGAGCACGACATCTTGTAGTGCTGTTGGGACCCACGGAGCGAGGATAGCTTGAATCTGCTCGGTTGGGTGGGAGGCGAGTTGCTGGGCAAAAAGCAGAAGAAGAACTGGCAGTAAGGCCAGGACAATAGAGCGTGCACCTGGCATGTTGAAGTGTGGTTTAACTGGAGAAGGGCGGGGGATCCTTCTCACTATTTATCATCGGGTCTACTTCTGGCGCCGAGGATATCTCTCGCATTCTCCATTGCCAATCTTATCTCCGCTTCCTTATCGCTATCTCGGATACTTCTCCGGAATCGGGGTCGCCAGATGCAGCAGGGCTGTTGCTGCATGACTAAAGGTGCAGTGGACGTGTTTTTATTCTTATTTCTATTTTCCTTCTTTGAGAAGCTCAATGTGTGGTAATAGTGACACTGACCGTAAATATATTTCGAAGGTTGTATAGCCCATCAATGTTGGCTTATGCCACACTGTGCCTCACAAAGGGCCAAAAACGACTTCACATAAGGGTTTATGACTGTTGAGTTGTGTGCTTGGAGTAGCACTCTACATGATGCTTCCAAAAGATGTCTTGAGCGAATAATCGGATTCCATTTTTAGGTGAGAAATGAAGTACTTGGGAGTAATGAAATCATAGAGAAGTGATCTAAATATATATCCAAGGTCACCGAATGCAATTGAATGCGATAATGTACAGCCGTGAGAACAAAACGTGTGTCTGAATGCATAGTTATTACGACCCTTGAGGCAAACATCAATCTTCTGGGCATGAGAGCCGGATTTCAAGCTATGGTCCATTGCCATGAGAGCACATCCAAATGCATACCATGACCCCGCATTGCAGAAACGGGAAGTAATATATGGACAGCCAATAAAAAGTCTGAAACAAATGTTCTTCATATGACCAATCAAAAGTGAGTATTGGGAATTTTTTGGGTTCCACTCTGTGCCGTAAGGGAGCTGATGCCCGATAGGTAAGGCATAAAACGCTTTTGCGCAAAAATTTCGGCGGGAATCCCTTCTTGGCTTGGCAGCGACAAGTCCATCAGATTCAGCCACCGGGGACACGGCAATTTCCAAGGTTGGGTCATCCACGTACTTTGATCATTGGATTCGCTCTGCCCATTTGATTCTTCATTTTCAGTAAAGGCCAACATAGATATCACGTTGTTAGTAGAACCCTTTTTGAGACAGGTCTATCAATGATATACTAGAGGCTAAACTACCCACCAGGAAGCGCCATTGAAACAGTATCCTCTATCAAGAGGTCTTTGCCTTCATAACTATGCATACGCTCAAAGCCACTGCATCTTCCTCCCTCTCCCTTGCAGAGGGCCATTACATCTATGCGATTACGCCTGCTTCGCCGGAATCATTCGCAGTGATCTCATCGGATGATTCGCTTCGTGTATTCGACGCTAACAGACTCGATCATGCATCTGTCATCGCGGCGAGCGCTCATGAGGGCGTCACATCTCTGAAGACATATGATGCTAACCAGCAGCTGCTGGCTACGGCGGGAAGAGACAACAAAGTAAAGCTGTGGGATCTGCGCAGCGGCAAGAAGACTGCTGTTGTAGAGATGGAGACATGTAAGTAGTCCCCCACCCCATATTCTTTATTCAGCTATTCACTACATCCATCGTTCATGAGAACCGTAGCTAATTCTCCCGAACAGCCAAACAAGCACCCATACTATCCGTCGCCTGCTGCCCCGAAGTTAACGGAGTCGCAGCTGGAACCGAGCTGGTTTCATCCCAAGCCATAGTCGCTTTCTGGTGAGTCAATAACCGACCTCTCACTGCGCAGGCCCTTCAGTCTATTCACCAACAAGGGCACAGCCACCCACAACTCAAAATTCACGAGCTGCTAACTGACGCCCCAGGGACACAAGATCCCCTGGTCAAACAAGTCTCCAATACGTCGAGAGCCACAATGACGACGTAACAGAGGTACTTATACCCCACTCACCTTCTCATCAAGCACCCCATCCCATCCCATCCATCGTCCCCTTCAAAATTCTGACACCCAAACCAGCTCCAATACCACCCCACACGCCCCACCCTCTTCCTCTCTGGAAGCACCGACGGTCTCGTCAACATCTACAACACTACCATCACCGACGAGGACGAGGCCCTGGTACAAGTAATCAACCACGGTTCCGTGCACCACGCCGGCTTCCTCAGCAACAACACCATCTACGCACTCAGCCACGACGAAGTATTCTCCGTGCACCCAGCGACTGATCCTGACGATCCTACCCAGGAGCCGAGCCCCATTCAATTCGGCGATTTGCGGCAGCCGTTAGGGTGTGAGTATATTGCGCAGCTGTGTGTGGGCGGTCAAGGGGCGTATGTGGCTGCGGGAAATAAGGAGTATGTTTCACCCCCTTTACAGACAATCTAGTTTTTCCCTCACTTGTTTGAGAAGATGTATTAAGAGATCTTACAGGGAAAACCGTCTCGACCTCGTTCCCCTCATTTCAGAGCCGTCTTGGAGATTCGATCAGGAGGGGGTGTGGAGGTTGCCCGGGGCGCATGGGGAGGAGGTTGTGCGGTCCGTCTTTGTTGATGAGAAGGTATGTGTCTTCTTCCGGACTCTATGTGTATGGGATTGGGTGGATGGGCTGACGAATAACGACTACAGTCGCAGTCTGTGTTCACTTGCGGTGAGGATGGGTTCGTTCGTGCGTGGAAGCCTGAAGGAGAGGGGCCTGCCCACGCGGAGGAGGCTGCAAAGGGTTCTCGCAAGGAGAAGAAGAACAGGGAGAAGGGGAGGTTCAAACCTTACTAGGTAGTGTTGTTGAGAGAGGGCGGAAATACCTAGGTTTACCAGAGTAGAGGTACTACTATTGTTGAAGTCAACGATCTATTTGATCCTCAAACCTGCCTAGATGTGTTGTGCAACACCGTTACATCCCACGTCTGACGTCTACTAATCTGCATCAGGTATGCCCCGATACACCTCAAAGGGTACTCCCATGATATCTGCCTTGATCAGCAGCGCAATGAACCGAGAAAAGTACCGCGAATGCGTCGTAGTCCCGGAAATGAACCAGATATGGCCATCTGCATCGCCACCTCGTTAACTTGATAAACCCCACAGAAACGAAGCGAATGAAAGGGAAGGAAAAAACAAAAAAAGGTGGGGGAGGGAAGGGAAGGGAAGGGGAAGAAAGAAAGAATGAGTGAATGAAAAACAAAGAAAAGGGGAGGCACCACATACGCGGACTAGGCTTGAATGCCCCTCTAACCTCACCCTCCTTATCAAGTCCCCAGTAATCCTCAACTCGATCATGCACCTCCTTTCCGAAAAGCTTCCCGACCGTATCCCTCGCATTCCACTTATACCCTGTCGCAAACACTACCACGTCGGCAGGGATATGGGTATTGTCTACGAAAAGAAGTCCCGTGGAAGTGAATCTGACGAGAGGACTATCAGATATGACTTTTACCTACATTCCAAGAAATCTAATCAGCAATCCAAACTTCATCAGCAGGATGTAACTTGGTGTAATGTGACAAACCAATCCCTTGGCAATATTAGCACAGTTCCCAACGTCCATGTAATGTCCTCCGTAGCGTTCATGAACGTGCGCAACGACTTCGGCGCCCCGATCGACCTTGAACCCCGCTCGTTCGAGAGCGTCGAATCGCTCTGGATTTTGAGCGATCTTTGATCGCAGTGTGAGGGTGCTCATGAGACGGCTTACGGCTAGGGGAGTGGAGAGTTGTTGTTTGTCCGCAGCGAGGGTACCTGCGTTGTGGATATAAGTTAAAAACGCGTCTGATTCTGTGGTTGGTAGCTATTTTTACCTTGGGCTCGTTGCGGCATGAACTCTTTTGGGATAATGCCTGAAGCAATTCCTAATGAGACAAGCAATGAAACTTTAGAGGTGTGAGTGACGGGTTCCTTACATGTCCGACTACGCTGGACCATAGTTATCGAGGCCATTCCTGTCCCAACCATGTCTGCTGCCGTGTCGTGTGCTGACTTGTCAGATTAAGCTTATTCTACGTGGTACGCAGACATACCAGAGTTAGCGGACCCAATGATGACTCCATGCTTACCCTGCCATGGGCGAGGGCTTTTGTATTGAGCGGTGTGAATGATTTCCCCTTGGAATATGTCCTGAACTCTCGCTAACTTGGCCGATGTACAATGGAGGGTTAACTTACCTCCCCTGGATAAGTGGGTCGGACGGGCTCCTGCCCTCCAGCGCCGATGGCCATTACGACATGAGAACAGGTAATGGTTCTGGTGGTCACTTGCTCGTTTTGTTTCAGGCGCAGATGGAGAGTCCATTTACGTTGATTGTCATCCCAGGCCCCTGAGGTGAGCTCCGTTCCGAATGAAATGTTCTAGACTTATTAGCCGGACGCATTGAGTGGTTGAATGAGGCTGCATACGATGCAGTATCGCTCAGCCCAGGCTTGATATCCGCGGGCTAGATCCTCCCTGCTCATAAATTCGGGATAATCCTCGGTGAAGGTGCGGTCAAATGGGAGCTGGGCGGCATCTCGAACGGAATGCACTGCTTCCGTCAGTATAAGAGAGAATAAAGCGGTTTGAGGAAGTATTTATTCCGTAAGGGAGTACATTTCATTGATTCATATCGCTGAAGCCAGGAGTCACCCACGCGAGTTGCCTTGTCCACCACCAGGTAAGACGCCCCCAGTGCCTGCAGTCGACCAGCTACACTCAACCCCGATTGTCCACAGCCAATTACCACACATTCGTAGGCTGCTTTCTCATGAAGAGGGTGTCTTGTAGGTGTGGGCCCAGGCTTCAACTCATCCACATTGGGCAGATTCTGGAACTGGTCCAGGATCGTCCTCAGGAGCCAAATTTTCCAGCTACCGTTTTTACTCGGGACCAGCGAGACGAAACCCGAGCAGGTGGTTGCCGGTATAGCTGCAGTCTCAAAGGTGAATGGGACCTCAATCCAGCCTATTCCTGGGGCCGGGCATACTGCCCGTGCGGCATCAGGGTTCAGCCGAAAGCCTTCTGCCTGGCGAGCGAGGCATCGTTGATCTTATGCCTTGAAAACAGTAACAGCAGAATAGAGCGTTCGCAATGTCCCAGTCAAGGCAAAGGTATCTCTCCACAAGGCATCTGGGGTAAATTGTTCGAGCGACAAGCTACTCAGCGGGATGCTAAGGCCCTTCGCGATACCAACAGCATCAGAGTCACTGGTCAGGTCGGCCTTTGGTAGAGCACAAGGAAGGGTCGGAAGGATTCCTTGGGGCAGATTGGCCATGTTGTGGAACTGGCATGCACCTTACAAGAAGGATTAGGAGGAGAATGCTCGACTGCCCGACACCGGGTTCTTAACTCGGGTGCTGCCGGTGCCGTAAGCAAGGCACATCCCTTGGGCCAACTCAGCGGTTAAGGGACCACGACTGGTATCATGCAGGCCCACTGTAGTGGTTGGCAGAGATGGGAGAAAAAATATATTCAATGTTACGGCGGAGCGTGTGAGATACAGCATACGCAGTAAACTATGTATTGAACTGACTCTTATGGTGTTGAAGGCTTCCATCTTCGTCCATGGGGCTATAGTATTCAGTTCACGCTGCACGATAGAGGCGGTGAACCGACAGCAATTACTTAATCTGTTCGATGCCCTCTACTTAAACCTTGCTTCCGCGTGTAATATCTGGATGATGGTCAGCCTTCACTGGAAGTAATTACCGTATGCATGGCTGCCCCTGATTTGGGCCAATTCATTCCCGTCAGCCCAGCACTGCAGTGACCTGTTCTACGAATCGCTATGACAGCAACGGCAGTCAATACTGCATACTACTTAGTACTGCTAGCACTTCAGTCCAAAGTGGGAGGGCAGCACTTCAATAATATCATATAACTCCCAACGTGACTTTCATCTCGGCCATTATGTGAGCCAGTGATATAAACCTGGTCAGCTATACGTATCATCCGAAATATATCTCTCAATTGGTATCATAACATTTGCGCAAAATGGCCCCCCATCCCTATCTCTCCAGATGGAAACTATTCGAACAACAACCTCAGTTCCTCAATTCTTTCCTTCTTCTTATCATCCTCGGAGCTGTCCCCACCAACCCTCAGTCCTAACGACCCTGCAATGTTCATCTTCCGTTCCTGGACCCTCAACATCCGTCCCTCGATAGAGTCCTTCACCACGAACCGGGTCACTTGTACATCCCGTGTCTGACCCATGCGATGAACCCGATCGATGGCCTGAGCCTCGATCGCAAAACTCCACCAAGGATCCATCATGAAGACGTTGCTAGCTGCCGTGAGATTCAGGCCCACACCTCCAGCGCGGAGACTGATAAGAAGAACCGTGGGAGGGGCCGGGGCGGTCGCGTGTCTATGCTTTGCCTTGGAGAGAGGAAGCTGGGCTGAATTGTTGGCTTCGACATCGTTGTCAATTTCGGTTTGATCGGCAAAGGTTTCAGCTCGGTTGAATTGGGCCAGGGTCTCGGCGCGGGCTTTGTGTGGCATGGTACCGTCCAGACGGACGTGATGGATGCCCGCACGCGTGAGTTGCGGTGATATGAGGTCAAGGAAGCTGGTGAATTGGGAAAAGACAACAGATTTGGTATTGGCCGGGACACGTGTAAGGTGAGCGAGAAGGGCATGCACTTTGGCAGATGTATGGGCAGAGGGCGAAAGCGGGTGAATGCGGCGGAGTGTGATTCGGGGAGGTGCTTGAGAGGGGATAGGAGTACTGCTATAGATATCGTCCTCCGGGGTGGCGTTCGGGGTTTCATGACGAACCACTTCGAAAATGTCTCGCGACGTGGTGGGTGCTCGGCATGAAAAACACCGAGGATCCATGCCCTTGTCGGTTTGATGGCGGATGTAGTTCTCCAGACATTTCTTGCATGCACTGTGCCAGCAGGCTGTGACTGCAGGGTCAATCATGGGCTCTTCCGAGCAAATGGGACATTCGCCGCTGGCATCGTTTTGGATTTGTTTCAATGCATGGGTGGTAAATTTGGCAGATGAATCCTGAGGCTCGTTGGATTCAGCTGCTTCGGTAGATGCCTTGAAGCGGTCAATGAGTTCTTGGAGATCCATGTCGTCCTTGAGGTCGTTGGTGGCGTCAGCAGCGGCTGCTGCATCTTCCTCGTCTGCAACTATCGCTTTGTTACGAGTGAGGATAGGGTGACAGCAAGTCTGGCGAAGACGGAGAATCTGTGCGAAGATCGTTGAATAGGACTTCAACAAAGTGCCAGCTTCGACATTGTGATTGAACGTCTGCTTTGCCCGGGTATAGATAAGATCATAAATCTGCCGTTCCTGGTCTGGAAGTTCGACTTCTTCTATTGTAATAGTGCGACGCGGTAGAGGCACTAAAGGTTCACCCTCGGGTGTCTTCATTGTCTTGGTACGTCGGAGAACCAAAGGCTCTAGCACGGTTTGCACGACATTCAGAGCTCGAACATAATCCTTGGATTCGAAAGGAACTGTTATGAACGTCTTCCAGAACGAAAAGTTGTTCCATGGCTCAACCTTGAGGAATCTCACAAGGCTGAACAAGTCCTCCAGTCGATTGACAATAGGAGTTCCTGTGAGTACCCATCGATGGGTTGCTTTGAGCTCATAGCACGCTTTGGCTGTCTTTGACAGACGATTCTTGATCACGTGAGCTTCATCGACGATGACTCGGAAGAAGTCTACGGAAAATAGGCCACCAGAGCTCATAGACGAGAGCAGCGTGGACATGTGCTGACGATATTCCGAGAGAACAACGCCATAGCTAGTTATAATCAAATTAGGGGCAGCGGCATTGCCAGAAGCACAGAGATCCTTGAGGTTTATTTTTGTATCTGCCCCATAATACATGAGGACGTTCATTGTTCCCGGCAGCGAAGCCTTTAGCGCCTCACTTTCCCACTGCGAGAGGAGGGATGTGGGTGCAATCACAAGTGTGGTATATGGTGCAGGTACGACACCGGAAGCCGACTGGGGCAACCTCACAAGATTACTGGGCTTCTGGGGCGTAATGCGATGCGAGTGGACCAGACTGAGCATCTCAATTGTCTTACCCAAACCCATTTCGTCTGCGAGGATACCCCCAAGGCAATGCTGTTCTTGAACAGGAAAGTCAAGGCTAAGCTCGCCAGAGTAAGGGTTGACGTAGAAGTGGTCAATGCCATCCACAGCCGGGAGTTCTTTGTCGTCGACATCTCTGGACGGCCAGCTGTACTCCTCCCATAAGGGATGGAGCGACGTCTCCCTTGCAGACTTATGATCCTTTTCCTTTGCGAGCATCCAATACAGTGCCTGCCTCTGATACTTTCGAAGATGCATGGTAAATGACGAGGCAGGCTCTGCTTCAGGCATGCTAAAATCGAACGACTGAGCTTTCTTATACAGGGTATCAAGCTGGTCCTCCTCAAGCTCTGGGCTATCCTCCTCCGAGGAGTCGTCGTTTGCTTGGTTCTCTTTCTTTACTCGCTCATGTTGTTCTGCCATCTCCGCCGCACGAAGCAATCCCTCTTTCTTGTGGCTCCTCGTCATATCATTGGTGGACGTCGGTTGGAGATGGATTTCATCAAATAGCTTCACCAGGGCCACCTGGCGGAGCCGCAGTGCCTTTTCATCCGCACTTTCTTTCTCTTCGAAATATGCAACGGACCTATTGTCGTCCATCGATTGACTGAAGATCCGTGGCTGGAAGGCCTCGATGCGCAAGTAGCATCGCAGCTGCAGATAGATGGTGTCATTCACCCGGACCCGGTCCGGCACGTATACGCATACACCTTCAAAAGTACACACCCTTTGGTCCAGCAGGGTCGAGACCCATTCAGCTATTTCCCGAGGCAATCTTCCTATTTCCTGGCCCGATTTAGTGGTAAAACGGGTGAGAAAATCACTCTTCTGGTTTGAAACGAGCTTCCCGGCGCGGTTCCGCTTCGAGAGCGGCTGAGACCGTGTGCGCTCAATATTTACAAGATCCCCATGTCTAAGAAACCCAGATCCACTCCTTGTAGCCCAGGCTCCAACACCAAATGCACCTATGTATCTTAATGGAGGCTGAGCCGCAGGGCGAGTTGTGGCCTTGTCAGGCGTCGGAGTCTGGGTGCGTGGGTGAGAGGATGCTGATAGGGGTGTGGAGGTCCTATTGGGCTGTGCAGAAAGCGGGCGTTGGCGAGCCGTGAGAGTGGTTTGGTTCTGGGCACGAGGAGCTGGGGATTTCTTCCAAGAGCCATCGAAATAGATGTTGACCGCCCGTTCAAGGTCGTCGCCAGCCGCATTTCGAATATTCTGTATCGAATCCGCCGAGAGACGTTCCCCTATAATACTGGTAAATGTTGAAATGTCGAACCCATCATAGTCCACCCGTAGTAAGGCATCCTCTGTCCTCCTCGGAATCGCATTGTGTCGCCCCTGCACAGCCTCTTGCTCGACCTGCGGCATGGTATGACCCTCAACCCCCGAGAAACTATCCGGCAAGGGCACCTCTATAAGTTCCGGGTCGTTTTCAGATCGTGTAGGCTGTAGCTGGGCCCCATGATCGGTCAGGGACGAGGAAGCGGGCGTGTGGAGACTTGCTGTGACAGAATCAGTGGATGGCTGGGGGGTGAGGAGATCTTCATCATCCGCAAAAAAGCGCCTCTTCTTCAACGGGCGGTCATCATCATCATGATGATGAATGTTCATCGTGGATGGGATTATTCCCCCGTCTGCGTGGCTGTCCAAGCCAATGCAGAGAACTCTGGGTTAATTACGGGAGTAATATTGCCAGAGAGGAAGACGCGCCGAGACGCGGTGGACGGTCGGGCCGACGTCATTTCGCGCCCGTCATGTGACTCCCAGCCATTATGAATCTGCACACACAGGACACCCAGAGTAACTAGTACTTTAGTACTCCTTCCCATTGGCAAAGATCACAGTGTCGTCTCGAGTAGGACAATTTCGGCGCCCGGCTTCACCCTGGTCTTGGGTTACACTTTACTGCAAAAGTGGCGCTGCCATGTCTCTCCAGTTGCGGTCTGTGCCTGGTCTGCTGACTGACTCGCAAACAGGCTACTCTTTGGCTTCCCTCAAGTCGCGCTTCTCATTGGCAAAGATGATGTGGAGTTCAACTACTACATGCCATACTAGTTAGACTAATCGTCTATCATCTCAGAAGTTGGGATGACTGATTCGGCTGTGGGACAGCATGGCCCTGGCCCCAAGCATTCATACTGACTGACGCCCACAGCAGATTACTGGGGGCAAATTCCTGGCAGCGCACAACAAACAGGAGGTTCTGCTGTTCATGAGAGCACTCACTACTTTTTAGTACACATTCGGTTGAAGTCACTTCTCTACCCGAACTAACCGATTAAGCGATGTAGATCGATCATTCCTGCCGACCCTTCACTGTCTAGTTAAATTAGCTATCTCACTAGTGAATCCTGCCAGATAACAAGCATGCGACCGGTCCAATAACTCTACGGATAGGACTTCACCCGCGGGTACACACTTATCGAGGACCAAAATCATTAACTAACTGCGGAATGCCAACTGAAACTAGCTTTGATCCATTCCCAATTCATGGCCCCTTCCTGGAGACCCCCCCCCTCCTCTGTTGTCCCCCTTTGTGTGCCCCTCCAGCCACCGTTGATCCTTATTCCTATTTGCTTCTTTTACCCCAGTCCTCCCTCCATGCTTTCCTCCACTTCATCGGCTCTCCATCTGATGGTAAATTTCACCATGCTCCTTGCTCGTCTCTGGCCGGCGTGTCTCACGCTGCTCGTGGCCGGGGCCGCCGCCGTCAAGGTTAATCCCTTGCCAGCTCCACGCAATATTACTTGGGATTCATCGTCAGGTCCCAAGCAGCTGGCCAGCTTCGTCAGTCTCCGCGTCTCTCAAGATACTCCCGACTTCATTCTCGCCAATGGATGGAATCGTGCTTGGGACACTATTGTCTCCCTGCAATGGGTGCCCGCAGCGACTGAAGGCCCCTTTCCATCCTTCCAACCCTTTCCCACCGCTGCGGCCGGAGTTAAACGGTCCTCGCAGGCACTGCCAACGCTACAGTTTGTCGATGTGAACATCTCGGATGTTGACGCGGACCTGCAGCATGGCGTGGATGAGTCTTACACACTGGAGGTCTCCGAGAGCGCTACTTCAATAGTCATTGAAGCACCCACTGTCTGGGGAGCACTTCACGCCTTTACTACCCTCCAGCAATTGATAATCTCTGATGCACAGGGCGGCTTGATCATTGAGAAGCCAGTCAAGATCCAGGATGCACCTCTCTATCCTTACAGAGGCATCATGCTTGATACCGGCCGAAACTTCATCTCAGTTAACAAGATCTATGAACAGCTAGACGGCATGTCGCTTTCTAAGCTCAATGTTCTACACTGGCATATGGAGGACACGCAATCATGGCCTGTACAGATTGATGCCTATCCAGAGATGATCTACGATGCATACTCCTCGCGCGAGGTGTATTCGCACGCGGACATGCGCAATATTGTAGCGTATGCTCGAGCACGCGGCGTACGGGTCATCCCTGAGATTGATATGCCCAGCCACTCCACTTCTGGTTGGAAGCAGGTTGATCCCCAGATGGTGACCTGCGTGGATTCTTGGTGGTCTAATGATGATTATGCCCTGCATACTGCAGTTGAACCACCACCGGGACAGATGGATATCATCTACAACGGCACATATGATGTGGTCCGAGAAGTATACAATGAGCTCTCAAGTATCTTCCCTGATAATTGGTTCCACGTGGGAGCAGATGAGATTCAGCCTAACTGCTTCAATTTCAGCAGCTATGTTACTCAGTGGTTCGCGGAGGATCCGACACGTACGTACAATGATCTGGCCCAGTACTGGGTAGATCATGCCGTGCCGATCTTCCAGAATTATAGTAGCTCACGGCAATTGGTTATGTGGGAAGATATTGTATTATCAACAGAGCATGCGCATAATGTTTCTACGGATATTGTGATGCAGACCTGGAATAACGGACTGGATTATATTAACCAGCTGACAGCCAAGGGTTATGATGTGATTGTATCATCATCAGACTTCATGTATCTGGATTGTGGAATGGGTGGCTTTGTGACAAATGATCCCCGCTACGATGTCATGAGTAATCCGGATCCAAACACACCCAACTTCAACTATGGCGGAAATGGGGGCTCATGGTGTGCACCATACAAGACATGGCAGCGTATCTACGACTATGACTTTACGCAGAATTTAACTGACGCCCAGGCGCAGCATATTGTGGGTGCAGTGGCGCCGCTCTGGTCGGAACAAGTAGATGACGTGACTGTCTCCAGTCAGTTTTGGCCGCGCGCCGCTGCCCTGGCGGAACTGGTATGGTCTGGGAATCGGGACGAGCATGGGCAGAAGCGCACGACGCTGATGACGCAGCGAATTCTAAACTTCCGTGAATACTTGGTCGCTAATGGGGTGCAGGCGAAGGCCCTGGTTCCCAAGTACTGTGTGCAGCGCCCTCATACCTGCGACTTGTATCGCAACCAGAGTGTGATTCAGAAGGGTTGGGTGGGTTGAAGACTAGTCGGTAACGCAGCAATATATATGAGCTATGGTAATAATCCTTCACATTATCTGAATCACACATAATAATCTAGTGCCAACCTCTACCCATGAGTTTGGTCTGCGTTCATTATCCAGTCAGTAGAATCTATCTAGAAAAGCCGAGGCTGTTAGGCACATGACCAGAATGTCCGAGTAAATGCATCACGTGCTCACGTGTGGCGTTCCTGTCACGTCCGGGACTCACCGCCTACAAAAGAGCAACAGAATTCCCCCCGACTATCTATCCAACGCCCCCACAGCCTGTTGGACTAGCCCGTTATAGCGCCCAGCATGGGCTCGCGCCTGCACGAAAACTCCAGCGCGGTGCGCAAGCGCATCCAGAACCACCACTTCGACAATGAGGCCGGCGAGGAGTACGAGGCATCCGCCTTTGGTGGGTTCAGCGATTACATGCGCCGCAAGAAGATCAAACTCCAGAACCGCGATGCCGAGATCCGCTCCTCCGCGGCAAACTGTCCGCCTATTTTCCGCGGTGTGGTGGCGCATGTCAATGGCTACACACAACCCTCGCTACAAGACCTGCATCGCCTTATCGTGAGCCATGGCGGGGGGTTCCTACAGTATCTAAACGGCAAAACAGATGCTACCCACATCATTGCCAGTGCCTTGACCCCCAAGAAGCGCGAAGAGTTTCGCCGCTATCGCATCGTCAAGCCGGCATGGGTCGTCGAGAGTGTCAAGGCAGGTCGCATGCTGCCATGGGACTCGTTTCGGGTCGTTGATGAGGGTCAGTCCCAGAAGGTACTCAGGTTCGATGATGGCCGTATGGTCAGTCAGATGAATAGTTCGCGATCTGGCTATCGCGAGCAAACTGATACCAGTTGGTATACAAACCAACTTCAAGAGGCTGCATTGTCTGTTGAGAACGCAGATGTACAGCGGTCACCACCTCCACGCTCAGAGAAACTTAACAGAGAGGATCCATCGCCCCATAACGGGTCCCAGTCGGACTACAGCCAGTTTCCAGGTTTTGCCTCTTTGGATGAAGTAAGCAGGACTCCCAACATTTCGTCTCCGCGGGAAGAAGTTCGAGCGGAGACGCCGGATAAAAAATCACCAGTAGAGGATGAGGATATCAATACTCATTCAAACAAACAAGAAAATGACCAAACTGAGGCACCTTCAGCAGCACTGCCGCTGTCGCGCGAATCCTTCCCAACTAAACCAGCAATGACTTCCGAAGAATACAATGCGCAGTTGTTGTCGGATCCACACATGAGGAATTCCAGTGTTGCAAATCCTCAATTCATCCAACAGTTTTACAGCGAATCTCGTCTACATCATTTGTCAACATGGAAGGCCGATCTCAAAGCCCAGTTGCAGTCTGCAGCCAAAGAAAAATTGCTGTCACAGGTGAAACGCAAAAAGCCAGTCCCCGGGGCTCGGAGGTATATCATGCATGTAGATTTCGATTGCTTCTTTGCCGCCGTGTCGACCTTGAAGCGCCCGGAGCTGCAGGGAAAGCCTGTCGCGGTGGCGCACGGCACTGGCTCGGGCTCGGAGATAGCGAGTTGCAACTACGAAGCCCGAGCCCATGGCATCAAGAACGGCATGTGGATGAAGGGAGCGCTGCAAACCTGCCCAGAGCTAAAGGTGGTACCTTATGATTTTCCAGCATACGAAGAGGCCAGTCGGAAGTTCTACAGTGCCATTCTTTCGGTGGATGGTATCGTGCAGAGTGTCAGCATTGACGAGGCCCTGATGGACATCACTACACAATGTCTGGAGGCTGGTGGCTCGGATGGTAGGGGCATCTCGGAGGGTTCACTCTATAGGGAACAGGCAAGGGCGGATGAAATAGCCGACGACTTACGAGCCACTGTAAAGAAAGAGACGGGCTGCGCTGTTTCCGTGGGTATTGGAGGCAACATTCTTTTGGCTAAGGTTGCCCTACGGAAAGCGAAGCCGGCAGGTCAATTTCAGCTCAAACCCGATGCGGTTCTTGATTACATCGGTAATTTGACAGTTCAAGATCTTCCCGGAGTGGGCTATAGCCTGGGTACAAAGTTAGAAGAATTGGGAGTCAAAATTGTCAAAGATGTTCGAGAACTCACCCGCGATAGACTCACGACGAGCCTTGGACCTAAAACTGGAATCAAGATTTGGGAATATGCCCGCGGTATCGATCGAACTGAAGTCGGAAACGAAGTTCTTAGGAAGTCAGTATCTGCCGAAGTCAATTGGGGGATTCGCTTCGTGAATCAGACCCAAGCTGAGGACTTCGTGCGGTCTTTGTGCCAGGAACTGCATCGCAGACTGGTCGAAAATCTTGTAAAAGGCCAACAATTAACTCTCAAGGTCATGCGCAGAGCACTCGACGCGCCGTTAGAACCAGTGAAACATCTGGGCCATGGCAAGTGCGATGTGTTCAACAAAAGTGTCGCCCTCGGCGTTGCCACGGATGCAGCCGATATTCTGGGCAAAGAGGCAGTTGCCATGCTACGAAGCTTGAATCTATCACCCGGCGACTTGAGAGGGCTGGGTGTTCAGATGACCAAACTCCAGCATCTCCGGGCGGGCTCTCCATCAAAATTTGGACAACGACAACTCAATTTCAAAGCATCTCCGGTCCGCAAAAGCATTGAACGTCACGATCCTGATATTCTAGACAGTCCTCGGAAAGGGGAGACCGAGTCGGTGAAGCCCGTTCCTTTATTCAGTGAGAGTAGCCGGCTGCTCAATGTTTCGGGAACTCAGTTCATTTTGCCCTCACAGACTGACCCCAAAGTCGTTGCTGAGCTGCCGAACGATATCCGTTCTCGCCTCATCGCTCAGGGTAGGCCTCGAGAGGAGTCACGCTCCGAGTCCCCATGCCCTACAAGTCGCACATGGGCGCCCGCCCCTGCAGAACTTCCTCCCCAGTCAGAGCTCGACCCAGAGGCCTTGGCTGCCTTGCCAGAGGATGTGCGCGCCGAGATATTAGGCTACTACAGCCGGCCATCCGTAAGTCCTGGCCCGCAACCCACACCATCTCCAGCTGTTCCCTTGCTGCCGTCTCGGCCCTCCTCTGCCGGCAGTCTTATGATGCGGAAGCCCACCAGTCCTCCGAAGAAACGACGAGGGCGGCCTAGCACCAAGTCAGTCGGCAATCCGGCCTTCACACAGGCTCGGTTCGTCATTCCTAGAGCCACGGCTTCATCTTCAGCTCCCGCCGAACGTCACTCACCTCCACCCGAGCAGACGGATGCCTCGGCTGACTTTCTCGCCGCGCTCCCAGAGGACATACGCCGCGAGGTGCTCCAGGAGCAACAACGAACAAAGAACCTACAGCGACCAGCCGTCAATCCCACCTCGGCGCCGCGAGCTGCTTCACCAATAACCTCAGATTCGACTACAGTTGCGGCTACAGATCCGCCTGCAACGCCAGAGAAACGGCTCGTCCTACCCCCATTACCAGACCGACCCACTTTTACCTCACAGAGGCTCACGAATTTATCTGACCTGCGGGATGCGATTAGCTCGTGGCACGAGGCGTTCAGCAGCGATGGTCCCTTTGAAGAAGACGTGCTGTCGGTTGGAAGGTATCTTAAGTGTGTCATTGTGGATGAGAAGGATTTGGACAAGGCGACGTCTGTTCTTTCCTGGCTAGCATGGCTGATCGATGACGAGCAGAATGCGAAGGAGTCGGATGCATTCAAGACGCCAGACCCAAGTGGCCGAACGGGTAGCAGTTCGCAGACTGCAATGACATGGGAAGCTGCGATAAGAAGTCTGCGGGCGAGTGTTGACGAGGGGTGTGCGGAGCGAGGGTTACCTTCTGTAGAACTATGACCTTCAATTCAATCCAATTCGTATTCTCATACCCGATCGAGCCGCCTTAGTTAGATGCCAGCTATGCAGGTGGTTCACCGCTTGAAGCATGAATCTGGCGATGTAGCGGATTGCCTGCGGGTCTGATGTGAGCGAATCATAGTATGTAGTAGCCCCCAGATCCGTGCGTGCGGCGGTCTTATCAGACATCTGATTGCGTAGACTTACAAAGCGGGATCACGCCAGCAGAACGTGCTTTGGGGGTTGGCATACCTCCCTGCAGCTGCAGCGGTCACTTTCTTGCGTCTTGATCCTTTTTATAGAAAGTGGGCTATGGCGATTCTCTGTGTGGGCATCTTCATAATCACATATGCATGCGCCTTTGGTAGTGTGACTGTGACAAGCGGAGAACTAACTAACTGTGAAAGGAGATCACGTGGTCTCGGACCTAGTCACCTGGCCACCCAGTCACCTCCTCGCGTAGTTAGCTAGTTTGTCTACACACACAATATCACCTTTGTACACACCGCTCGTCGCTACTACCGATTGATTGGCTCGGTGAGGCCTTCGGACTGGCTCAGGGGGGTGGGCAACGACCCCCCAGAGCCGGAGAGTTGGTCAAACCCGGTCATTTAGAGGAAGTAAAAGTCGTAACAAGGTTTCCGTAGGTGAACCTGCGGAAGGATCATTACCGAGTGCGGGTCCTTTGGGTACGGCGGGTAATAGCCGCGATTTAGATTAGCGAGGATCATATAACTCTTAGCTCAAATGGCACTGTAGACGCTAGCGCTCCAGCGGGACTGACCGACAGTTCTTCGTTTTGGCTCCAGTTTAAGGCACAGTCTTCGACTGCAATGACCTATGTCCGCCTAACTTGGAGCAAAATTTAGACAAATACACCTAGGCATCTAGAATACCAAAGGTAAACCTCGGTCAACGTACAGTATTAGTGCGATGAATGCCTCCCACGAAGTTGCTTCGAATGATCTCTAGCATATGTTGAACCAGTCAAGGCTGCATCTCATATAAACAGACTAAACGTTTTTGCAATGCCTAATAGAACTGGAAAACAATACAAAAATCCCATTTGGCCTAATGACGTATACCGGAAGGAAACACCATGAACGAAGCTGGTGCAAGCAATGATAATCACGTGCAGAAAGTCGCAAGAATTATTGGTCGATATAGAGATGTTGATTGGTGTCCCGGCCGAAGGCTTCTGACTGGTTTTCCAGGAAGCTTACCTGATGACAAATTTTAGTAGTACTGTCGGGCGCTTTCCTAGTAACGGAGGCGGTAGGCACCTGCCGATTCGGGGCAGGGTGGCAAGAAGGCGAAGAATAGGGGATCTCGCTGGTCCCCTCCTCCACGATCCTTACCTAGTTGCTAGTTATCATCGTTTTTCGTTCAATGCAAGTCGTTTAAAGTTATCGTTTCAAAAGAAGAGTCAAACAGTACGTTACATAAACCTCATTTCACTGTTCTGTACAGAGTTGGTCCATCATCATATGAGTCAGTTCTTCATCTGGGCTGGACAGATAAGAGTCGGTTGAGCCACAAGCTAGTGCACGCTTATAAGCCAATACATAAGGGACGCCCGTCGACCATACATGGATACCGAGCTCCGCTATGTTAGGGCTCCAGGGACAGCCTTGCTCCCCACCCATCTTCTATGTGCTTCACTTTGTACTCCGTTATTGAGCCCGCGCTTGGCTGGCTAGTTCTGCTCCACCAAGCAAATAGTGGTAGCCCACTGCGAGTGGAAAGTTGGCTAGAGTAGTACACCTGGACCGAACGTCGACACCATACCCCGTGTCGTTCGGCTGAGACGTTCACAAACCCGAATATGTCCCGCATATGACCTTCCCATTCAGTCAAAAGACGGCCCCGACCGAGGAAGACCGCCAGAGACGAGGAATGTCTGCAGATGTCAGATAACAACTAATGCTGCTACAGAGGAGAGCCCTCGGTCCCTGACTTCGAGATGAAACTTAGCCATAATTCAAGTCGAGCAGCTGTTAAGACATATATGATCTTTATTTTTTCCCTGAATAGGTATGCCAGGCCGGTTAAGGGATGCAGCAATAATGGCCGATCGAGATATGGTTATCGCCGCCCGCTGAACTGTGCAAAGGGATCAAGCTACCGATATGGGCTACGACCGAGCCGTCACCCTGGATACCAGGGTGGGGAAGCTTTCCACTCCGATTTTCCAAAATTATTCCGTCGAAGGCTCGGAAAGATGCAATAATAGGAGTTTCATTGGTGGATGGTACCAACCGCCAATCAAGGCAACAGAAGCCGTACAAGGCGGCCCATTTATAGAGTGACCTTATTTTCCCGACCGGACTTGTGAATGACATACCGGAGATGATGGACTTCCGCTCCGGTCGCCCAATTTCCTGGACAACATCTCGTCCCACAAGTTAACGTAATCGGACAACGAGCCGCCGGCGGTTGGCCGCTCCGCCCACCAAAATCAACGATTCAGACAAAAATGAAGCAGTTCAGTAATATACCAATTGAATATACATTGTAGGCTAGGCGTTGGCTCTATGCGAACACTTGAGGCGATTATGACCTTCTTATTGCAATCACTGCAAAGGAGGTGGCCGGCGTTTAGCGGTTTGGCTTTAGGTCTCTGTCACCGCATCGTACCTTCGTCTCAGGGCAATAGGTGGTCGCAACAAGAACTATATCATACTATGTCATTCAGCCTTAAGTTTTGGCGATTTTCTGGCCGGAACGACCTTGGCCTATAAAGTCTAGCAGGCCCCCTCTCAGATCAAAGCCGCATCAGGAGACTGCCAATGTCTCACAACTGACCTTCTCGGTGTACACAAGGTTTTACTACATGTCAGTGAGCTTTACGAGTTTAATCAGCTCTCTAGTCAATATTGAACACATTCTGCTTCTTGCAACCAGAAAAAATAAAGCCATGGAGAGTTTTATGCTCGAACTTTAAGCCGTTATAAGTGGAGCCTACAGAGCAGTGGTACCGGAAGCCTTTTTAGAGACATGTTCCAAATGGACCACAAGGATGCCTGATAAAGTGTTCTTTGATGATGCGTAGTGAAGATAACAGATTAATGTACTAACATGAGTTGGTTGATATAAATAGGCTCACAAGCTCCACCAATGCTTCAACCTAATCTGATCTCGTTGAGTATTCTTGTCCAGGTTCCATGCTACTTCAACTATGACGCAAAGAGGGCTCCAAGTATATAAGTAACACTGCCTGTAGCACGGGATACAATCCCTGACTGTCCGCAACCCGAGATCCATGTCCACCTACTGAACATTTTATAGTTTTCCTGGTGTAAAGACAGATGTCTTAATTAGCTCTGAGATAACAAGTTCTACGGGCCCAGGTATACATTAATCCGCCTATTGTTCTATGAATCTGATGTAAATATGCGCAAGAACCAATTTGTGTCGTAGGAGTTCAACAGAGCAATATAACCAGCCGGACTCTTTCGCCCAGGACCTGTTTTCTCAGTCAGAATCATTTCGCATCTGGATAAGAACAGTTGGTCATGCCACCAGGTTGAATGGCTCGGGTTAACGCTAGACTCACCTGCTAAATTGCGGGAGAACCAAAAATTGCGCGATTGGGCGACAGAAAAGCCTGAGGCAGATTTTCCAGCTGCCATTGGGTAAAATGTTTCAATATGCCACTCTCGAGGCTGATGGCAAGTTGAGATCTTTGCAAGCACAAACCAAGTTATACCGATGAAAATTGGGTGGCTGATTCCTTTTTTAAATGCGACATCTTGAAATATATAAACTGCTGGTAACAACACAGACAGGTTGACCACAACATAAACAAGGTAATTATATTGTGTTTGGATGACATCAATGAAGCGGAGCTTATACTCTCAGACGGGAGACTCTTCTAGATCCTCTGATCCCCTACTCTTTGAACTTACAGCAAGCGATGGGCATAACCCTTGGGCAGGTGCTATCATGGTCTGTCGCTTCGTAGTTGTCCAACAGGGTATTTGTTCCAGCCTTTGTCTAGGCATTCATACGTATGTTTAGCCTTTCCCTGGATGTACTTTCTGTTCCGCCTGAACTAGACCGGCCTGATTATCCTTTCTTAGATATGCTGGAGCAGGCTGTTCCTACCAGACAAACCAAGATCCGTTCACGTTTCTACATTCATTTAGAAAAGAATACATCCCACCGCTGGAGAAAGAAACTGGCATGCACCTGAAGCCCATCCGCCTAAACACGGACCATCCATCTACGACATTATCAAGCACTGCACGTATTCATGTTGGCCGCATCTACGAAGTGCAGCACGATGTGAAGGTAAAGTGTATTGGGCTTATCTACGACGCATCAGTGGAGACACTGCTGTCGCAGTCTCGCTCCTACACCCGGTGAGAAAATGGAACAGGGGAAAGGCTAGCGGCTGAGAATCTCTCACAGGAAGGTATGACAGACTCAACCGTGTCTCCGACAAATGACAAGGTCGTCTAGGAGATAAGGGATGACGTATATATGATACTAGGGGGGGAATTCTTTAAGCTTGGTAAATCGAGGCCGTTACCGGATTTCTCCATGGAGACGCCCCCCATAGCTGCTTCTCGACGGAGTGTGTCATGGATGCCTGACGGGAGAGCTCTCTTTAGCATTCTGCTATCCAAGAGAGTGGAAGAAGGGTCCAGATAGCGAACTTGTCTCATCATCAAGAGCTATTCGCATGTACCCCCACAGGGTATATAACATAGTGCTAATATGCTCGCCATTGATTGCGCAAATTTAAGACTTTTCTCTGTCTGCACATGCTAATACATCTTTTTCGTAGCACAGACCATATCCTAGACCTGATACCGAGTCGCACTGCTCCCATAAAGACTTCTTCCGTCCTATCTGCTTATTACCACACTCTATATCATCGTCATCTTCTAGATATCAATTCCAAATACCCTGATTAGATCAAGCCCTCCTGGCATATATCACTTTAGCTTGGCAAGAGACACTCCGATAGAGTTAAAGTCTAGTAAGGTGGATGAAAACTAAAGGGGAATCATACTGAGGGCCGCCGAACTCCGCATCCGGGCATACTCAGGGCCTCAATCGACCCGCTCAAAGGAATCATGCGACCAATCAGAACTACTACTTCTTTAGAAGACCCCTCTATGGTTCTTCCTCAGTTCACGCCAGCTTTACTTTTTTTCGAGCCCCAATGTACGTCCTCCAACGATTACTCTACGGATTCCCCGAGCCGGCTCCCCGCAAACGCACCAAGCCAATCGAGGTGCTTTGCTTGGGCTTGCCGCGCACCGGAACCGAGTCATTAAGCGTGGCCTTGCGCAATCTGGGCCTGCAAACATATCATGGCTGGGACTTGCTCTTCGAGCCAGATGGCAGCAAGCTGCAACTCTGTGCTGAGCTAGTGCGGCGGAAATATAATGGTGCTCGTGATGGCGACGTGCACATTACTAGCGCGGAGTTCGACATTCTCGTTGGCGATAGTCAAGCAGTAGTTGACTTGTGTATTTTATTTGCTCTCGAGCTGCTCGCCGCCTATTTAGACGCTAAAGTGGTTCTCAACGTGCGTCCCGATGCCGATGCCTGGTACCGGAGCATCAGTAAAACCATCGTTGAGGAGATCGATCAATCGTGGGTTATATGGGGGATGCAGTGGTTCTCCGCAGAGCTTCATTGGCTATAAAGTCTTTATTTAAGAGATGGATATCCAGGCATCTTTCACAGCAGCACTACCACAGAGGGTATCCAGCGAAACGCAAAGTGGGTTTATCGCGACCACTGCAAAATGGTTCGGGGTATGGTTCCTAGGGATAATTTGCTCGAGTGGTCCGTCGAGGATGGCTGGGAGCCGCTTTGCAAGGTATGACTGGGAAGAGTCTAGATTTTTCTCAAAACTATAGCTAATGACAGAATTAGTTTCTCGACAAGCCTGTCCCCAACGAGCCCTTCCCCCAAACCAATAATCCAAGCGATTACGCCGAGCACGCAAATAAACTCCTCAAAAAGCGCTCCTTTCAATGTCTGCGCAGCTTAACTCTCACCGTCGTGACTTTAGGCGGGATTACCACTGCCGCCGTGATATGGTGGCAAGGGCGGATTCCGAAGGTTATGAGGCTCAGCGACCTCCTTAGGCAATTCTTTAGAATGACATAATACATCTTATCTCCGTCTTAGTTATATATAGTATACGAGCTCTAAGCTTACTTATATGTTTGTCTCCCCTAGATTAGTAACTCCAACTTAGCAAGGCCTATCTAATGCCCTAATAAGATCCTCTAATCTCGCATCTTTCTCATAAAAGCCAATAATTTGCGGATTTCTTACTCACTTTAAAGATACCATGGTTAAAGGGAGGCTAGAAATGGCTACTTCGGCGGTGGATTTAAGCGTCCCTTTCACCATCACGCCGCAGGCGTCCTGGCGTCATTTGTTAGTATTACCACGGCCAGTTACTTCCCTCCACGGAAGGGCTTTCACATCCGGTTCCTGGGCCTAACATTTCGAAGAGCTCCTTGTTGCAATTCGTTCAATATTACCTACCTAGCGAGTCGCTCTCACTGTGGTCGGGGTGGTCGCTGCGGAGAGGGTCGAAAACAGCCACCCTCTCTTTCCTTTTAACCATCATGTTCTCTCCAGCTCCAGGACACTTGCCGACAGTGTCCTTTCTTCTTGCTCCCATCCTTTCTTCGATAATCACCCTCTATCGCTTCCCCACACTGTTCATTACTCCCAAGTACAGCTATTCTCGGCCCCTCTGCTTTTGCTCCAAATATTCACCTCGCTGCCAGTTACTCATTGGCTGCTCAAAGATGGTAACCCTCCCCCGGGTGGTCGGACATGACAACAAGTAAAGTCAGACCGACAACGACACCAGCTCGGACGTGAGCGAGATATCTCCAGATATTGAATATGACAGTGACTTCAACACTGACTTGGATCGCGATAGCGGCATTCAGATAGCGATGACTATGGCCCAGACGACGACTCTAAGGAGGAGGGCCAGTTGTCTCTAGAAGTCTATTTAGCCCAACTAGAGAGCCTGGATCTAATATAATTTTGATGAAACTGCTACGCTGATAAGTCTTAAGAGAAGTGAGATGGTACCTGTGTATACTGGGTTAAGTAGGCAAACACCTTCACTCTCGTTCCAGATAGTAAGCTCCCTGGTTGCTCTCCGAAAGGTATTGTTGGCAAATTCATGTTAAGCTGATGCTACAGTAGAACTTGATCTCAGGCTCGGATGAGACGGCTCGTTTCCTGTATGGAATTGTTTGCCGGAGGTGCGATACTTGTCGTGGCAAGAACGCTCGACACTGTCCGGGTATTAGGTCCAAAAGTTTGTTGGAGACATTTTGGAAGTAGTGGCATCTTATTCTCAAGCAAGTGACAGCATCAGCGCTAAGTAAGGAAACCATGTCAAATTAATGGGCCGCGCGATCGTGGGTTATGTTATTCACTGAAAGCGTTGTCAAGCAACACGGCTCATATAAGATCATAAACCACGGGATCTCGTCCACTGCGGGAAACTGATGAGAATGGGCCAAAGAATTTATCTTCGATAGCACCTATGATTCGGTTAAAGTCCGCTATCCGAATTTCTAGCCCTTTCGGCTTTTTCTATAACGCAATATGCTTCAAAACCGGGAGATAGATATCAGTCAACTTTGGGTACTCGCTGTCAATATTTTTGATTCAATCGCTTGAGCGTGAGGATAAAATAGCTTGAAATCAGGTATCTGGTATTTCTCCATCACTATTAAAAAATCGATATGTTGTCGCGGCGTAAATGAATAGAGGGCTAATCATATTGACTAGCGCCCTGAAGTTCTCATCCCTAGGCCAGGCGTGGGGAAGCTTGTAGTCATCTCTTATTCTATTAACGTAATTCCCGGCCGCGCCGGCCACCCGCCCGCACCGGCCACCCACCTACTACACACCCAACGCGTTCCTACATACAAACACCCTTCCCCTCCCCTCTACTTGAAGCTATTCAACCACCAACCATGCCACCAATACAGTCTAAAGCATCAAAAGATGCAGCAGATAGTCTTTAAAGAAGGCATCTCAATCCAGGAAGCAAGAGTTAAAATACAATAGCAAGAGGAGATCCAGACAGAGGAAGCAGTATCTTAACCACCTGCTCGGGCACCTCCCCGCTGCAGTGAGTGCCACATAATGGGCCACAGAAGAAATCAGTGTTCAAACCTCCGTAATAAGTAATAATTGTAGGCTTTGCTAATAATAATGTTGTTTAAATAGCTTCATTCTTGCTTGCGTTGGGTGTGTAGTAGGTGGGTGGCCAGTGCGGGCGGGTGGCCGGCGCGGCCGGGAGTTACGTTAAGCTTTATTCGGAGAAAAATCTAAATATCATGCTTAATAGTGGAACTCTTTACCCGATGGAGGACGATCTCAGTCTTGTTGATCGGTGAAAAATCCTTAATAACAGTTAGTTCTGGCCTGCTCATAATAAATACTTGTAGTTGGTTGTCTCTCAAGTAATAGAATTTAGGTAAAATGGGGAGAAAGACTATGACATTAGCTGGTACTTGGTACCCATCCAGAATATTAATAGCAGAAACCCGGATTAATGCAGCTCTTAAGCCAAGATCAAGGCAATCAAGGCTCTTGATGGGGTTGATCCAGTTGTAGCGAGTGATCTATTTCCTCCCTCTAGCTTCTCCCGCGAGAAATTCGCCAAACTGGCTGTCCTCACGACGCCCACTCCTGGCATGCGGACGGCGCCAGAGACGCTGATTGTACTCGCGCCGTTTTGCGGCCCCGACTCTGTCTAGCTTTGGGCTTCCACCACCCAACTTTCACACAAACGTCAAGTACGCCCATCACATCATCCCTCCGCCTATTAATCTCAGCATCTGCAACCTCCTACCTCGCCAGTCACCACCCAGTCTACGATCTCGCCCATGGCGACTACGACCGCATCCGCGAACCTGAAGTTGGCTCCGTACTGGCAAGGCCAGAACTCATACCAGAGTGGCTCAGGGGCAGCAGCAGCATGTCAGTTGCGGAGCTCGAATGTGGCTCCCCATTCGAGCCAAGATGCCCTCCCCCCATCGGTGAGTTCTCTGAAACGCAATCCTGCCACGTCTACGCCGGTCACGGGGCACATCTCCCAGCCATACGAGATGAATCACCTGTCCCGTTCCACCACTCTATTTCTATCTCCGCTGCTCCAGTTCAGTGGGGCGCTCTTCAGCAACAGCATCATGCGATGGCGCATGCCATGTTGTCGGCATACGATCCATTACCAGACCCCACCCCTTCATCTTACACCCTTCCTTCGAACGATCCACCCATGGTCGAATCCTTGTTTGGCCCAGCTTATGGTACTGTTCAGCAATCTTTGAACCCACCAGGCAGGTATCCACAGTGCGGACAATCAAGCATTGTCCCGAATCAGGTGGCATCGAATTCGCAATCATCAGTTCATCTGAACTATCAACAGCAGCTATAGCCATCGTATAGAAATGCCAGAAGGGCGGTCGCTTTCTTATGGATGTGCTTGGTTTGCTCATCCCATCGGAGTGCCAAGACCGCTGGAATTCCCAGGTATGTTGTTGTCTGTGAAGGCTTTACTTCTATATCCCCGATGTTTATGCATTTGGTGATACTGAATTTCATTCTGACCTGGTGAAGTGGACGAGCTGGTTTTCTGCTGGTAAAAATTTCGATCTATGCCTCTTGGCCCACTCTTCTCCTTGACAGTGTGCTCGCTCCAAATGATGCAGTTCTGTTCTGTTAATGTGCTCCTGGTGAAGAAGTAGATATCATCTATCCATCCTGCGGTTTGGATGCCTAATTCTCAATCTCCTCCAAGAGGTCCGCGTTGTAGAAGAGGTACAGGATTGGCAAGAGCGGGGACCCCTGTGGATGCCCACATTGACCTAATATGCGTCTGACTTTATCTCACTCATCCTAATCGTTGTCATTATGTCACTGGGGAAGCTTCGAATCCATCCCATCGTGTTCCGATCAATGCCTCCTCTCCGCAGGTTATGAAGGAGTCGCTCATGCGCGACGTGATCGAAGGCACCCGATACATCCAGGAAAAGAACGCTAGCAAAATTCGGCGGGCATATTTTCCATGATGTATGTATTCTGTCCAGCAGAATATGTACGGCCTATTCCGTTGAGACCCCTCTCCGTCCTCCCATGTGCTGTGCCGGTAGTAGGTTCTGAGTCTCTACTGCATGACTGATTCGTTTCGCGATGATTAACTCCATGACCTTTCCCAGCGTGCTTAGAAGTGCAACTGGACGGTAGTATTTCACTTGCTCGTAGTCACCTTTTTCAGGTTTACGGAGCGCAACTGTGACCGATTCGCGGAAGTGTTGGGGGCAATACCGAATCCTCAGGCAGGCGTTGTAGAGGTGTTGGAGGGACTCAGCGATGTAGTGGGAGAGATGATGGAGCAAGTGGCTTGGGATGGTATCTTCCCCAGGTGATTTCCTCCCCTGCATGTGCTTATAGCTTGGGTGACTTCGTTGAGAGTGATTGGCGGAAAGTCTAGTAGTGTTGGGTAGGTATAGTCCGCGATATCTTCTAGAGCCACCTCTGGAGGGAGAGGAAAGAAAGCCTGTTTGAACAACTCCAACTTGGTTGCTTCCGTTTCCATTTGTCCATCTGGTCGCTGGAGGGGTGGTATGGATGCGGAGTGTGGCCCTCTGTTCCTGGCCCATCTGGCGAGTTTCCAGAGGCCATCCGTCGTCTTTGTCGCTTGTTTGATCCTCTTCCTGTGATAGTCCCTTAGGGTTTTCCTGATCAGTCGGGCTTTGTGGTTCCGCGCATGAAGGTATGCTTCCCAGGATTCGGGGGTCCTTCTCCGTTGATATTGGCGTCGGAGTCGGCGTGCGAGCTGCTGGGCTTCCTTGCACTCTCTTGTCCATCCCGGAATTAAACGCGGGCTGATTCGCGATTCGGTGTCGATTTCGGACGGCCGTCAAGATCGCTTACTAACCCCTTGTGTTGCCCTGTCAATGTCACGCTATGTGTCCAGTCTAGTCATAATCGGCAGCAGGTGGCGGGCTAGAGTGTAGAGTCAGGCTAGAGTGTAGAGTCAGTCTTCATCCGTACGTTCCCAGTTCCACCGTTCTGGCACCGTTCTGTCCCGAGTCGGCTTGGCCAGGATTGTTTCCAAGGGGATGTAATCTGATTCGTGGTCTAGGTCTTCCCGTGGGCTGCATCGGATAAGGCTATCTTGGGGTCTCGAAGTGTCTAGGGATAGGTCTATGGTCATTTCCGTGTCTCTGGCCCTGAATGTCATCGTTCCTGGTTTATACAGAAGGCCCAACTTGTTCTCCTCTATTGTCTGGAGAATCTCCTCTGCTTCAGAATCCGACCTTTGCACCCCGATCCCCCCCCCAATAGGGGTGGTGCAAGTTTTAATCTCCCACCGTAATCTGTTCCGGGCCCTTCCATCGATCTAGTACCCTTTGTAAAGTCGTTATGGCACTGTTGGCCGGTTCGAGGTCTGGAACGGGGTTGTATACGTTATGGATGATGATGATTTCATCATGCTCGTCCCAATTTAGCTCTAGTGTGCTAAGGTCTGGGGTGTGGTGTGTGGCTGTTCAGTGATGGCTTGCGATCCTTCTATTGACGAAGAAACAGACGCGGGTCTTCCTGTGGTCTTGGTGTGCGAGTTCAAATATTGAAGGACGGAATGTGGGACTTATGAACAGAAGGGTTCCGCCATGGTTTCTGGGTAGCCAGCACATCATAACTTGTGATTTTTCTGTATTGAAGCAGTGCAGCCATGACTTTGTCCCGGGTTTTCATTGCGTTGTACTGTAGTATTGCTAGAGTGGGTCGCTTGCTCATAGTTGGCTGGGAGTGACGTGGAAGAAGTTCTCTAGTGTTTCTAACTTCTCTCCTGGGACTGGTTGTTCGTGCGCATCCTCACTTCTCAGGGTGGCATTCGTGGCCTTTCTGACGGAGCTGGACGGCAATGCCTAGCCCTTGGACTTCGGCTTCTATCCCTCTTGCTATTCTTTCGAGGTGATCGCGTTTGTCGTCGTCGGTGTGCCGTCTGCCATTACTCCTCTCCAGCGCGTCGATGGCTGGATATTCCTGCGGAGGCCATATTGGTGGGACTGGCTCGGAGGCAGACTCGGGGTTGGTGTATCGGTCAGAGTAACCAGGTAGCTTCCTCTATTAAATGGATTTGGCGGCCTCTCTATACCTCCTTGACAGCGATTTCAGAAGGCACTGGCCTTGGTTCGTCTGATTCATATTGGAAGGTAAGGCGGGACTTTCTGGCTCGCTCTACCTTTGCTTGCTCTCTCCTCCGCGGACAAGCATTGCTCCAGACGATGTGTTAACCCTTACACAGCACGCATTCAGGTGTGGGCGTCGGGTCGATGTCCTTCGCTATGCATTCCTTGGTATTGTGCGCTCCCGCGCAGTATCTGCATCTCTCTTCGGCATCGCACTGAGGACCGGTGTGGCAAATTTGTGACATCGATAGCACTGCTTAAGCCTGCACAACCAGTCGTACAGAACACAGTCGTGGTGAATCGCGTTCAACACCTGTCCCTCCTGGATGAACGGGTTCGCGTGATATTTCGTCGTAAACTCCACGACAGGGGATGAGGCTTGTTTCTTTCTTCCTTCCCTGGTTAGCCAGCCTACGTACGTTACCTTCGCTCCCTCATGGAGCACCGCATCCTCAGATTCAATTTTCTCAATGGCTCTTTGTTGGTTGTGGGTCTGACCACCCTCGCGGATGTTCCGAGAACTTTGATTCATTCTTCTTCGATGTCCTTCAAAGTGTCTGCCTCTGACGTGGTTGCTGTGTGCAGCACTATGTCCCCACTCTTCAGTCGTTTTGCGGCTATGGCCTGAGGGGCCTTCCCAAGCAGATTTATCCGTGAGCTTAATGCATCGTTCATACGTTTGCAGAGGTCTTCCGATGATACCTGGCGGCATACGGCCGCCGCGTTTGCATCCAGCTTCACAACGGTTTCTCTATCCCTGACACTTGCGGTTGTGGAGGCTCTGCTGTTCGGTGTCGACGGGTATGAAGGCGTGCCCGACCGGACTACGTCAGCCCAGGAGGCAATTCGAGTGGCCGTGTTGGTTGCGACAGGAGCCGGTGATGCGAATGCATTATTGACTGCGTTCTTGATGAGGGTAATTCTTCTACGATCGGCTGCACACTGTTTAGCTTTCCCAGGATCTCCTGTCCGGATAGTTGCTCTCGGGCCTTCTTAGCTAGATTGATCACGCTGTTCAAAAGTGCTTCCAGAGATGTGGCTGGTACTTTGGCGCGGTTGGTGCTGTCGAGCTCCAACAGTGCTGTGGCCTCGGCTATGATTTGCGTGGCATGCTCGAGGTGGTTCAGGGGCTGAATTCCCAACACTGGCCAAATAGTGCCACCAACCATGACTTCTGGGTATTGGGCGATAGCCAGGAGCCAGGTTAATAGATTGAACCAGCTTTGAGATCTTGGCTGAAATTTCAAAAATTGTTTCTTTCCAGGATACAGGCCCGGGAGTAGGAGTCGGCTCCGGAGAATCATGATTTTCCGGAATGTGCGGTGTTCCCGGGGTGCTCTCCGTATGGGGCATCCAACTCCATCAGGTGGAGGTGTGAGCCATCAGCCTAGGAGGTAGAGTAGGTCGCTTCCAATATCTAATGTTGGAGCACCCACTCAGTGGACAAGGTGCCTATCCACATCATGTACACACCACTACGCTACGTTTACGCCTTGCTTGCTTCCAGCTACAGAGCCTAGATAACGACAATTCAAGCAACGCTTTGGCCTCATACTTACCAATACGAACCTTCCTACGTTCCAACACCCAATGCGAATGGAAATTAGATGGGAAGATACCCCGTCTGTGACAGGGATGCCCCGGAGGATATACCAATCCCAGGAATGCAGACAGCCGCCCCCATTCCCTGATCCAAGCTCACCAAAGAGCATGGACCTGATCCACCAGGACTTACACAAGTTCATTTCCATTGACAATAGTAGTACGAGGCGGCCCCATACGTGAGTGGTGCACGCGCCCGGCTAACTGTTCTGGGATCTCATCACGTGAAGGAATAGGACGCACTGCTGTGGCCCATATGGGAAAGAGAGCGATGGCATTCAGAAACCGCCACTCGCCGGTGGTCCCCGAAGGCAGGAGGGTTATGAGCAGAGGGGATATGCATCAAGGATATCTAAAAAGGGGAACGAGTCAAGCAATGTGTGGAGTATCTATCTAGACTAGCTGCGGGCCCTCGAAGAATGCTGTTGTGAATCTGACCTGTCCCAGAGCCACTTTCCTTCAAGATCCGGTGAAAGGAGATAAGCGATGGGCAATCCCATAAAGTAAAAAACCACCAGAAACAGGGGATCGACGATCACGATTCGACAAAATGCAGCCGGATGGGGTACATATTGACTAATCTGGGCCCACCTTGCGCTACCTTACGCTTGACCGGATCTCCAAAGCAAATTCCGAACAGCCACACTTCGGGGATTACCCTCTTCCGGGCCTGAATGAGGATTAGGTCGTGCAGGGTTCCTTTCAGCTGGTCTTCAGGCTGTATACCAAACTACGTCCGTCGATTTTGCATTAAAGGGCCTGCCTGCAGTTTGGCTCCCCCGTGTCAGGAAATTCGAAGACTGTTGTCAGTGCCATTGTTGTTGTGTTGCTGTTATTACGGTTGAAACAGGTCTTGGACTCTCCCCAATAGTCAGTCAAAGCAAGCATTGGGGGTGCACGGTAATGGCAGTACGCTCCACTAGGCGTGCATGACCTTTTCTGAGGGTAGACGCCCGTTTAATCCTTTGTTGTTTGCACAACATTCACCGCCATGTTTCAAGAGGATCCGGAACAGCCTGTCGGAAAGAAGCATATCCCTCCAGTGGCACTGGCGGTTACACAGTCCAAGGCTGCTAGACCCACGGTGGTCCGCAAAAAGTTTGCCAAGCCCCCCGTCAAAGTAGCTTGTTTAGCCTGGTAAGTCCCCTCCTCATCATATCCGTCTTCGTTTGCTACTGCAAGCCATCTTGCTGTCGGCTTACCGGGATTAATGCGTACTCGTTTATATCAGTCGTGCTTCAAGAACACGTTGTGATGGAAAAGACCCGTGTATAAAGGTAGGTATACCATCTACTTCCCTTCCGAATCGCCATAAACTTCAACATCTATGGGTGCTTTCCCTCCCAGTCTTGTTTTCGTTAGCTTTTCCCTCCCCTTTTCGTCTCTGCAGCCGTTTCCCCGTTCTGTCATGGTTCGCCTGGCTGGTTTTGGCGCCCCATATCGCTCGCCATCAGCTGTCCAATTTTTCCTTGGCATCTGAGGACGTGTGCTGATGTGCTTGTTCTGGACAAAAGTGTTCCAGTAGGAATAAGTATTGCTCTTATTTGCCCAGTAGAAGGGGTGGTTCAAGGAAGACAAACAAGCCATACAGTACCGCAGATTCTCAACGGGGTGGCGTCGAGGACTCTACTACTACCCTCCCGGTATCAGCGGATTCTGACGATTGTACGCTCAGGCCCCGATTCCAACTCATGGGCAGCAACTAACGCACGCCTAGCATCCGGTATGGTCGGCCAGATTGACGTCCTATCAGTCCCCAGGGCAGGGCTGAGAAGCTCGGACTTCCCCATCCATGTCCACCCCGTTTTTGCCGATCTCTTTGTCCCAAACACTGATCATAATGCCTATGGCCAACTGGAGCCGACCCGTTCACCACCAGATATTCCGTCTCGGGCCTTGGTTAGAACATACGGCAGCGAAGATGCCATGTGGGTGCTGAGTCATTCCAGTCATGGCTTCACGGATTCTGACCCGAGATCGTCAGTCTTAACGCGTACTATGACTTGATCCATAATCACTTTCCCATGCTTCCACCAAGGGTTGAACCACAGGCTCCTGATCAGCCCCTAGATTATGTCAGCTCAATCACAGATTCGCCATCAGAACAGCCAATACTCGTCTACAAGCCACGGTCTCCTTTAAGTCTTTCAATTTCGGCGATTGTGGCACTGGTTCCGCACCCAAATGACCCAGAACCGTGGGGAGCTGCGTCTGTCATCTGCCGCCGTACATTTGCGCACATGTATGCACAGCTGGCAAATGAAGCTATCAAGACCGACTGCGAGCTTCACGCCTGGTCTACCCATCCTCCAGGGGCGTTGACCACCGAAAGGCCTCTTGTAGATCGAGAGCCATTTCATCCGAAGACACCAGTGGAACTTGAAAGCCTTCTAGCACTTCTCGTGCTTTCGACATACGAATACAACCAACAAGGTAACCTCATTAAAATGCGATACCATGCTAATCAGGCTCTGGCCATAGCGCTGGACATGTCTCTGCATTCTCTTGGCGAAGGATTTGATAAATTTGCGGAAGCTCGCCGGAGAGCGTGGTGGATGACTGTATGACCCCCTTATATGCATGGTACAATGTTACTGATGTCTGTCCATTTGCAGTACTACTGTGTTCTTCAAGGTTCTATTGTTAGCACCACGGTAAGTATATCTCTACTTTTTGGGATCATAAATAGTAATGCTTGGCTCGCAGCCCCTAGGAATCATTGCGAATGATCCTCAATCTCTCACGCCTTATCCGCGATTCTCGGCTGATCCTGATGTGAGAATTTCACTATCGCCTGAAATTCAAAGTTGAAACATGTGAATATTCGGCTCCTAACACTGTTTAGGGATGGTCTGTATTAATACAGGCTCAGCGAGTTCTAGCCTCAGCAACTCATTTTATCCTTAATCTCATTAGGTGTCCATCTGCGAGGACCAACATACCATACATTTATGAGCGGATGCAGCAACTAGAAACATGGGCAAGATCTGTTTTGACACAGTCGAATGTGCTTCCGATCTGGCCCCCGTCTATGGGCTGTGGCGGTGAAACAGAATTTACAACAGCTAAAACCATACGTGCAATAGCACGGAGCAAATTGTTCAGGTGGGTAGCTCCTGGGCGCTCTGGCGACTCTTGTCACTCACAGCTGTTTAGCGCCGAAATCAAGGTGCGCCGGTTCAGAGCTCTCTTAAAGCACTGCGATCACATCTCGGTGAATTCAAATAACACAGTGCCGAGTAAAACCTTATAACATGGCAGGTCCCAAAATAGAATTGGCAGCATTGGATGTCCATGTAGCCAGGAACCGTTCAGCAGGCACCCAATGAACTTATGTCGCCGACATCTCCAGTGATATCAGATATCAGCAACCTTTATTTGTTCAAATATTACATATAGCACTCATTATCTTACATTCCACATGTTATGACGTCTACCCCTTTCAGTGGTGGACACGGAGGAGCAATAAATTGATCTGCATACTTCGAAACAGTTTGAAGTTGCGGGGTGCATGTTGGGATAAGGGCAGACTGCAATTAGCTGATGGAATGTGGCCATATGAGACTTACACATGAGACGTGAATAAGGCCGGGGTAAAGGAAAATGTGATCAGGAAAAGCAAGCTCTTCCAGTGCGACTCTCATGTAGACCAGGAATATCAGGACAGTCATCAAGTTGCTGTTAATGGTTTGGCAGTAGCTCCAAAAATCTCGTGAACATCTTTGGCAACACTGCGTTTACTCTTTAAACATGCATGAGACCCTGCCTTCCAAGAACCTATCGGCAAGTAGTAGTGTCATGTTTAGTCAGCTCGCGAATTGGCGAGCTCTTGATTTTCCGATCAGCTTCATCATATGTAGCGATGCCCGCCACAGCTGTAGTGCAAATGTGATGTTTCCAAGTACTCTTGTTAACATCGAGCTTGTAACGTTCATGAGCACTATGAAAATGAGCGAACACCATCCACGCGGCGAAGCAGGCGTACCTTCCTCATTAGGTACAATGTGAAAAAATGTATTAAAATCAACCCCCACCATGTCTATTCAGGAGGTAGTGTCGAGCTTATTCAGGCGACCGGAATGTTAGTATCATTGCACCAGCTATGTCTAGCGGCGTCATGCTGCCGATGATTAGTTCTGCTGTTGAAAGACTTCGCACAGAGCCCGCAATAGAAATGACTCTGTGTTTGATGCACGCTTGCAACAGAACAGAACGTGAGATACTCTAACAATCCTATTGTCAATAATTAGTCAGATGACATTCTGAACAAAGGCGCCCCTACCATGGTCATTTCTTCAGTTCAACGATTCTTTCTATCAAATCAGCGGATAGCTCGTACACAAACTCTGGATGGTCTTTTCAGACTTCATCAATCTGGCGATATCTCTTAGGCGTATCGAGACGTCGAAGGAAAAATCTTATAAGAATCACACGTAGGTCTGCTCTTGGCGGACATTGCGACCCATTTCTCGCAGTCGTCAGTGATGTCTATCCTCCTAGATATATCTTTCAATACTTGAATCAAATATTCGGCTGCCACAATGTAGATTTCTCAAGTTGGTCTGCACACGCCTCCACAGCCATGAGATAATATCTTGGGCGATCCGTTCCGTTGATGGTAATCCCATTAAAAGCAGCACATTATCTTCTGCAGCAGTATCACGTTTCCCGGCGGGATCACCCAAAATCTCTGGTGAGTCGTCATAGTAAGCATGGTAAAGGAAACCGAACATCTTTGAAATAATGAAAGAGTAATCGAGGACGTATTCAACGCGCAATTTAGGCTTCTTTGTAGAGTTTAACAATCAGTCTCTGGGTGTTACCGCTGATACATTAACCTCGAAATCACCATTTGCAGCCTTGTCGAAAAATGGCGACTGCGGGCACACGTTGCAACGATGAGCCGGGGGCTTGAACGATGAGCCGGGGGCTTGATGACTGGCTTATGACTATGAGGTCTGAGAACTGCCCGTTCTCCTCATGCTCTGAAATATGTGTCAGTTCATATGCAAACCAATATCAAGGAAGATTACTGAGGCAACCGCGCTTCGAGCGTATCAAACTCGGTAGTCATGATGCATCAGGGTTCGTCGCCTGGGATTGCTTCACTCTGGAACAATGTCGTTGGGTTTTCAGCCTCGCGATCCCTTAGCTGGATAGGTACTTAATATATTACTGACATCCACACTATTGACATGTTCCTATGCTGGGATCAGTCAGCGCAGACTCTCAAGTTTAATTCTTGTAACTCATTCTAAGAGAGGGCTTCCTCTGTATAACAAACTCCTATTATAAAGAGTACTAATTATGTTATAATCTAGGATGCCTGTACCCTATGCATTGCTCTCATTCAAATAAATATCCAGACAAAAAGAAAGGAGAAGAGAAAACTAAGCAAAAAAGAGTTCCAAAAGGCACAGCTAGTCAAGCCTCTGCTTTGCTGCTTTGAATAGATTCTCTACAGACTCGTTACTGCTGTTACAAAGTATCCCTATAAGAACTGAGACAGTCATGGGAAAATCACTTCAAGCTAACATATAGATGTAAAGAATCTCTCAGCACTTTGTCAGACCCCATCTATTTCTTTCTATAAGAAGGAGTATAAATCGAGCCACTATTACCGTCATTGTAGTAGGTCCTCCCATTAGGAACGGAAGAGTGGTATCTATTACTAGAGAAAAAACTTTTAGTAGAAGTGATTTGGCACAGTCCAGATAATAGTAGAAGAATATTGATGAGAGAATGGAATAGAGTGGGATGACATGACTAACCTGTTAAAGTAGTAGTATGAGTCTGAGGTAGAGCTGTTAGAGTAGCCGTGGGAGCACCAGTAGTTTCGCTTTTGGACATTAGATTGTTAGCCGGTGTTTTGGATCTACAATAAAGAGTGTTACTTACCTGACTGCTAGTACCGGAGCCCTTGTAACTGAAGTATATCCCAGACCTCAGCATGGTTGTGATCTGGACCACTGATGAAGTATTGAAAGGATTGGCTGATGCAGTGGATAGCTATAACTTAGAATGTGCAGGCTGCTGGTGTTGGCAGAGGAAGAGTGAGAGATGAGAGTGAGAAATAAGGGTCGGGCGATCCAAAAGAAGGGGTAAGTCAGCAACATACCCTTGGTCCCTGGTTATTTCAATTAATCATGCAGATGGATTCTTATTATTCTTGAATAAACCTCTGCACTGGGGTGAATTTATAGTACATACTATGATAGTCTTAGTCTTACTACATATCAGTCATCAGCATATGGATCTCTTGATACGGATGTGTGGAGATGTTGCTCTATGGACCTATGCTATCAGAGGGATATATCGTAACTTAAAATTTCGCCAGATTGCCTTTTCTCAAGATAGCTATCAGTATATAATAAATGTTATAAAGTTTAGACTCATCCAAGAAAGTAAATAGCGATGCCCAAAGTAATCAAACTTCTTGTGTCATATACAGTCCCTAGGGCTTCAGTAACTAATATATAAAATTGCTGCAATGGGTTGAGCAGGGTCAGTAGTTGATCTTGGAATAATGTTCTTTTTTAAGAACTGCCCCAATACAACTTATACAATCCCGTACAACAGAACTATAATACATGTAGCGCTCAGTCAAGGAGATAGACTGTACTTGAGAAAAAAAGTTCTTACCAGCGCATCTGCCTGGACACCCCAGATATGCTTACCTAGGACTGCTAATCTGGGGTCAAAGTTCTTCAAAATGACATCAATGTCCCGAACGTTACCTTGAATCGCTTGACTGAACGTATCGTCCGTTCCGAGCATTGCAATCTCCCACATCCTCCTCCACCCTTGAATTGCCACGGCTGCCTCCGAACAATAATGCCAGATGATTGTTGCAAGCATGTAGAATAAAGATCGCTTGGCATGGAACCTTGGATGCTTGTACAGTCGCACTGAAGAAAAAGTACTGATTGCATGCAGTAATTGTAGGGTATGTGAGGATTTGACCTTGTGAAGAAGAATAACAATGGTTCCCCCCAGCTTGGTATGCCCCAGTCCAAGTGCCAGATGTGTCAGGGTCAGCCTGCTGGCTTCTCGATGCTCCCGGTAGGTGGCCATGTTGTGATGACTAAAGCACCTTACCGTCACATATGATTAGATCCAATGCCTGTCCCGGTCGAATTGACGGAGCAAGAATTTCCCCGCATCTGGACTGATCGTTCGGGATGTCCAACCAGCCCATATCCGCAGCCAACAGGGTGATGTCAATGAACTTCGCCGAAATAGTGGGATGCTTGAGTAGAAGGACATTGTGACCTCCTTCACACTTTGGCAAGCCGAATCCTATAGCTCGTGTTTTGGGATTAACCTGCAATGCTATCCCAAGACAGCCTCCCGGTGCCATACGCATGTCAAGGATACGTTGTTTGTCCAGAACAGGGTTATGGATTCGGAAAACATCCGTAAGCCGGTGCATGTCGTGTCCTATTCCTTTTATCATTTTGAAGAAATTCTTGGCTGCTTCCTTGTCAGCGTTATCTGCTATTTGAAGCTCCTTTTCGAAGAACTGATCACCCGCCGGATTTTTCCAACCCTATCTTACTTGTTGACTCGAAATCCATGAAATGGCCGACCTGACCTGACCTTATGCCGAAGCTCGGATAATCGCTGGAACTCCGGCACCCTCATTTAACACGTAATGTGCTATGATCTTAGCGGGTCTTTGGAACTCGCTAGCCTGGGAGGCAGATGCCTTGTGATAGGGAAGGGTACCCTGAGATACATCATGTACGGCAGAGGCGTGTTCATACTCCTGGCATCGTTTATTCTCTGTTATTAGAGACATTAGGTGAAAGGAAACCAGTATTTACTATAAAAGAAGAAGAAGGAACGAATATGTACATAAAGTAAATGGGGGATTGACTATACATAAATGTAAGCTGGGTTGATATTGTTGAATATTAACAGCCAATAACAGATCACGACGAAGTTTGTCCTCTCGCACGGTATATTGACATGGCATTGACAGGCATGTCGAACTTTATTCAATTCCAATCAGGCCTCGAGGCCGCTCATCACAGCGGAATAACTAATGCAATAAGCTGAATCGTGTGGCCGCGATAACCCACGGGATGAATTGCTGGTATGGAGCATACGAATAATGACAAGGATACTCTGCGGAACGATGAAGGGCACGATAGCGGATAGCGCAGGCCGAGGTACTATCCAGATGTTATCTGCCTGCGGGAACCAACAGATACACACCATTGTTGTGACAACTTGATAGTCTTATCACGGGACCCTGATGCTAGCAGCTGGCCATCGCCTGAAAAGGCGACCAACCAAACTCAGTCAGAATGGCTTTCCAGGATATGCTTGACAGCGCCTGTAGCAACATCCCACAGCTTGATGGTGTTATCATCCGAGCCTGATGCTAGCAGCTAGCAAGATCGATCTCTGTTCGGCTAGTCCCATAGCTTGGCAGATCACAAATGTTCTTTTTTGAGGTAGCGGCCCATAACAATAAGGCATCGGCTGGCTATGAGCTCTTGATTCTCCCTTTTATCCAGTAAACAAAACTCGTCTGGCAGATTGTTTTTCCAGACATCTGAGAATATTCTGATACTTGATAGGAACCGTCAAGCAGTGAATCGGGCTAGCGAATTCTGATAGATCTTGGGGCCAGCTTCCGCGGGCACGTAAATGCAGTAATCATTATCCAAAACATTGTCTTGCGGTGCTGTGACGCGGCTGCCGGTGGCTGTGAGCCGGGTCTGGGTAGATTTGGTCTATACGGTGTTACCTGGGGCCGGTCGCATTTTGAGGTAGCTTGTGTTGGTCCTAGAATTGAGGTTTTGACTATTGGCTGCAGCAGGCCAGACTTGCTCACTGCATAAGAAAGTAGAGCGAGAGTGGAGCTAAATGGAAAGTGAAGGATTAATAGTCTGTAAGACTGGTGGGTGTAGCTGAAGAGCTGACGTTATCTTTCTGATCCCCGTCGATAGCGCTGCACGGCGGGTCGCAGCTCATCATGGTCTGAAAAAAGGTGAGCGTGATCTAACATTCTGCCAGTCATCCGGGTCGCAGCTCATCATGGTCTGAAAAAAGGTGAGCGTGGTCTAATATTCTGCCAGTCATCTCACCGCCCCCTTCAGACCACGCCGAGCTGTTCTTGGCAAAAGCTCATCATGGTCAAGAATCTTAGTTTTAAACCACGATGAGCCTATAATAAGCTATATATCAGAATTTTTAGGGTATTTAGGGATTTTCGGGTACTTAGGGTGCTTATTAGAGTGTTTTATTAGAAAATCTTTTTTTATGATATTCTTAAGCTTAGTTTTAATATGTGTATTATTTTAGTATACGGAAAATATGTAATTTTTATGAAAATCAAAGTCCTCATCATGGTTAAGATGGAAAAGGGTTATTCCGTATTTAGTGTTAGACCACGCGGAGTTTATTTCAAACCACGCCGAGCTGTAAGCCCCTGCACGGAGATTGTTTCTGCTAATGGAAAAGGTATGGTATCAGCAGTCGGAACCCCGCCGTGCTCTGACTCCGCGCAACATGCAGTATCAATATGAAAGTCACTAACCCAAACGCCACTCCTATTAGCCGAATTAGAAATTACTTTATTACTCAGTGGTAGTGCAATTGAGGGCTATATTCCGTTAACAACCTATCGCAGGACAAGTTTAGATGGGTACGACCTTTGTGGAGCCCACCTTCTCCATTGTCGAAACTGTTCTTGTTCTTACTGTTTGTTGCGTCAGAATCTGACCTATACAAAAATCCTCAAATGTGTCCATGCGCGCCCCCCCAAAAAATGGTTTTACATATGTATAATTCCTTTCCAAAAAGCGCAATAGTTTATGTATTTACCAGGGCACACCCAGTTACAGTAATATCATGTTGAGCAGTAATACTAGTAGGCTTGGTCGCGTGATCGAGATCTAACTGACGTACCAGCTACCCCTTCTACACGCGCCTTGCTGCGCAGCGCCTCGAGAGAATACAACAGAGACTTTACTCTCCTTATTGATCTAGCCAGTAAAGCATATCATCTTACTTAAGGCATCCTGAAATCGTGTTGAAAGACAGCTGAATTTGTGCAAAGCGAAATACCAGATACTTATTATAGGTAAGCCCAGTTGCACTGTGACTATGGGTCCTGCGCTGTAAATTGGACGAGGTAGCGCATAACATCTCTGCCTTCGCCCACGCACCGCGGTGGCAAACTATCTTAGTGCTTTATCTGCAAATGTTTAGAAGCTATGCGACGACTACACACAACTGAAAATTTTATTTGTCAGATTGAAACTGGCGCAGCGGCGGAGCCCGCTTGGCTCGGTTGTCATGACTTCCACATAGCGTGTGGCGTCACTAAGACAGACTAGCGATGCTAGGTGCTTAGTGTGTGACACCAACAGACTTTTTGTTCAGCCCGTATGTTGAGTCATCTTTTCTAAGCAATCCTTTTGATCAGGGTGGATCTTGCTCAGCCAGCACAGTCTGCTGTAATAGAAATGTAGATCATGTTCCTGTAGCATGTTGTCCCAGCTACCAAAGTGTACCGAACTAGTGTACTGAAAATGATCACTGAAAAACGGACAGAATATCAACGGTATCGTAGTAACTGGCGGTTCACCCTTCGAATTTTCTGTATGAACCAATAAATATAGATCAAAAGTAGCCATGCTTCAATGAATCATCTGGTTAAGAAATAACTGGGGAAAAAAGGGAAGAAGAAGAAAAGAAGAAAACGTTAACAAATTCCCATGACTTATCCTCTCCCATTCAGTCCGAATATGGGCAAGTTCATGGGTATATCCCCTGATATATACGTGTCGGGACTAGGTGTAGGTACGAAGATCATCCGTCGACGACGATCATTTGGGTGGCGTTGCCCCGGTGGATATGGACTTTGGTCTGACAGATAATTCCCTACCCGACTATGGTGTAAGTGTTGTCATAGATCCGCAGATACCACTGTCGAAGGATTTAAGTGGTTCGCTGCCGGCCTTTATTATTGAAGGCTGGAATAGTGACGCGAGTCAGAACCAAGCCCGCCCGGGAAGCTCATCGGAAATAATCAGATGTAACATGACACGAATGAGTCTGCTCCGAAGCATTAACAGTAAGAAGGGAGAAAAGCCCCTTATTTGGATTCAGCGCAACTAACTCTCCGCTGGCGAAGTTAGATAGACATGATCAAATCCAATCCTGATAAGCCATCAACGGGTGATAGTTGTGACGCTGTACAAATGCGCTTTCTTGGCTTCCCCAGTTGATATGTTCTTCGACTTTTGACACTCGTTACGCAGCATTTTATAATTTACTGGCCCTAATGTTGACCCTAACAGAATATAAATGCGAACATGGACCTACTCCAGGCCCTTAATATCATAAAAAGTTACTTATCCAGAAACAAGCTGAACCCAAGATCTGTCTGATGCGAGGGCCTTATCCTAATTGTCATATATATCAATCAGTCACTATTATATAAACATTACTATCAGAGAAGCCTTGAAGCTTGAAGTGCTTTGATTTGATCGCCATCCCAGCACAAGAATCCAACGGAGTGTGGGATGTGTTCGTTTTCTATCTTTTCTTTCTGCCTCTTGATCTGTTTACCTTTCCTTTTTTATTTCTCCCATATATAAATGTTGCTCTCCAATCTTTTAGTCTACAACAGCTTTATTGCGTGCTCCGCGGTGGCCCAACATACCTGAACTAAGAATCTTACCATGTATGGCTGAGCACGGCATGTCTGTCGTTCTGATAAGCGTAACTTTTCTGTACCCTCACCCATTGGCGAAAAATAGAATAAGGGAAAGGAAATCAAAGGGTACTCCCGTACTAGTAGCTGCTTGTAACGTTTACTGTAGAAATGACTAAAAGAATCAAAGTTCTATACAAGAAAAACTGGGCTACTTGACCAGCTCTGTCAAATCTGGCGTGAAGAAGCTAACCTCACGAGCACCACCCAGCCCGAATAATCAGACGTTACGAGCCAAGGCGATCGTGTAGGAAGTCAGACTTTGTCAAGCACCCCGAAAAAAAATATTACGTGTATGTCGAGACTGGCGAGGTTCGGCCGAGTTTTACCAAACTTGAAATGGCCTAAACTAAGATTTTACAACCATATCAGAACGTTCTGAGACAGAAGATTAATAGGATTCATAGTATTGTGTTGCTATGATTTTGTTTCGGTGATTGATTCCATATGTGGGCTCTTTGAAGATGTGCTTGGAGTGAAATTGAAGACCCTTTTATATAGGACAACTTGGTATCCGCTATATCAAATTATATCCAAGAAATAGAGTAATGCAAGCCGCCCAAATCACAAATCACTAATCAATATATAACCTCCAAGCCCTTCATCCTAGCTGGCTGTAGAATATTAGTTAATAGAACATGAGGTTTGGAGGATATCAGAAAGTCATAAACGGGCACTACAAGTTTTTCCAACCAGTCACACAGCCGGATCCATAGATTTCATAACATTCCAGGCTAATCTTGCCTGTGAGCTCGAGAGCCAGATGGCCTTCGTACTTAGTTGTTACCACAAGTGTCCATCCATTATCTGTATAGCCAACAGGATGATCACTTACACCACAGAACAGAGCAGTGCCTTCCCAGTTACAGTCCTTTTCAGAATAGCTGTTATCACAAGTTTCTGCCGCTGTGGCTATGCCGACGCCGAGGAAGACAGAGGCAATGACTGTTTGAACCCGCATTTTGAGCGGTTCACGAAGTATAGTAGAGTCCACAAAGTCTAATAGAAAAGAAACTAGAGATTGCACTTAGAGGATAGGCAGGGTGAACAAGAGCAGTCATTTATAAGATATCAGAATATAAGATATATACTTCCAAGCTTCTATTGGTTGGACCTAGTCATATGCTCCAAATACTTTTTGTTCAAAATCAGACCTATCTCCACACTTCCAAATACCGGGTGCGCGTCGTGTAGTGGTCAGCATGATATAGATCCCGTACCTGTCTTCTAATCTAGGCGAAATCCAGAGATATACAGTTATATGACAAGAGTTTGAAGTACCAGCGGCCTCCTACAACATGAAGTTGAGTGATTAATACTCATTGGCCCGCGGAGAGTGGGGGTTGGATTGGGAGGGGAAGAATACAAATCTTCATCATAATATTAGAATAATAATATAAAGCTGACTAATCATAGTCTTTAGAAGGCGCTGAGGTTCATGAGTCAGTCCAGTAAGTATTTTAATAGGAGCGGAAGTCCTCCCCGCCAATAACAATGCTAAAAAAAGCCCTGATTTAATCTAAGAGAATAAATATAATCAAGATCAGTAATACAAACCCCGCAGCCCGACCGAGCACCAAACTAGCTATCACAAGACCTGAAAAGTTTGCTGTATCTGCAAGATTGACAAATTTATTTTGTTAGCTGGCCACGGCATACCCGGGCCATCACAGTATCCCTGATTGGTATGAAGCTCACTGAGCTGATCATTTCTGTAGTAAGTAAAATTTTCATACAATTATTAGACATATACAACGCAGTAATATCAAGTTTTGTAATCTTTTCTCATTGCTCTGTCTGTGTCACTGATATTCCTACTTCAGAAACAAAAAAAAAAAAAAAAAAAAAAAAAACAAGATAAATGCATATTAACTTATTATTTGATTAAAAAGATGGTCTGATAATGTTATCATGCCAATTATTGAAACAAGGGGAGAGTAGTGTATGACCGAAAATTAAGAAAATACAGTATCTCGCATAGATCGACATCTACTTGTGATTTTAAGGCCTGGAACAAGAACTACAATACAACATCAGGTCAGGTGCCTTTCAGCTAGGCTAGAGGCTAATTCAATCCCTAGCTCTAGGATCAGCCAGGCTCATGCTCATTT